CCTTATCATCCACATCCTTCTCTGCCCCTTTTGTTTTCCTTCCCTCTAATACTAATAGTTCCTCATCTACAGAAGCCAAGCTCTGAAATTTGTTGCTCAACAGAATAGGCTCATTATAACTAAATTCACTACTTTTTACTCTAATAATACTCTTTCTAACTTCCTGAAAGTAATTGCTAACTGAAGTATCCCTTGCATGTAAAATCTTGAGCACATCCTGAAATCCTGCTGCCATTTCTCACAGTCTACACTTTTCTTTATCTATCACCCCTGCTTTAATTATGATAGCCTCTAACCTACAAACTCTGAATAAAAATTGCACATCTTTATTACTAGCTTCCTTAACAAAATTACATGCCAGTCCCGAGTTCCCAAATAAAACTCACTCATTGCACCCATTACACCTAACAAACTGTGAATGCTTAACTCCTACACTAGTCTTAACCATTGTATTTATATCTATAGCCTGAAATACTCAATACCAAATACCAATATCCTATTGTTAACATTGTTACTGTTCAGCCTAACGTTTAAGAACCATTAATTTTCTATCACTACTTTGTCTTCACACTAATGTAATAAAGTTTATCTTTAAGTTTAATTATATAGAACTTAGAAATAGAACTTAATAATTCATTAAGACAATATACGTAACGTTAATAATAATAATAAAATGTATTTAGCCTTATTTATATAATATAACCTATCTATATATATAAGCTGAAGTTAAACTAGTGGATCTAAGTTCAAGTAAACAAGTAAATTCTTAAAACACCAAGGGACAATAAACTAGTTTTTGGATTCTATTTATTTAATAAAACAAGGTGTTTGTCCTGTTTTACGATCTACTAGTAAGTTGAAATATACCTAAGCCTAAAGTACTGTTACATTTACTAAGCTTATTTTTAACGTTGTTGTAAAATTTACACCACTACTCTATAACTATAACTTATAAGTTAAAAATTTGATCGTCTTACTTTTATTTACCAACCTTAACACATTTAGTTATTATTGTGTTATTTAACTCAAATTTAACTACAAATTGTAATAATAATAATATTAAATAACTTTCACAAATTTATAAGAGCTTAACTTTTCAACGTCCAGTCATGATTAGTTATATACTATAGTTATAAACAGGTCAGAGTACAGGATGCTTTTCTTTTTTTAGCTATACAATACACAGTATTTCAAACAGATCTGAACGTAAAATATTTGGATAACTAATACAACTATGTTCATGCTAATTTTAAGTAACATTAGTAGTAGAAACACAAACAAATGCTGGTGTGTTATTAACACGTAAATAAATCGGCTCTCTTATGGGAATTGTATGTTTTGCAAATTTGTAATCATGTTTAACAGTAAATACCATAACTTGTGGCATAAATGAAAATATTAGCTTCCACATAAGTTAAAACTGGTATTCTCCACCACCTTTGCGTGAACAATATATTTCTATAACTTTTCTTCCAAACAAAACATATATTAAGCTCCACTAAATTACATTCTTATATTCTGATAATCTAGCTGGGCTGATAGGTTTATATAGGATAAATCCCAATTTTCAGTTGGTGAGGATATGGGTTTATTATTAAATAAATATCAGAGGTAGTTAATACTTATAGTTATACATGAACATATAATTTCTGATGACTAATTGTTATTGTAGAAATATAAACATTAACTTGATAAATGTCTAAAAGAATTGTAATGTCAGAATACCTTAATTATTTAATTAATCGAATTACGCGCTATTTAACTTGTTCTCCCTTAATAGATGGCGCAAAAGTTCCCCTCTGTTCTTCCTTCTTGTGCAGGAGCTGAATTCTTCAATATTTGCTGTAGTTGCTCAGATCACCCTTATTTTCGGCACTGATCGCGCATATCCTCGTGTTTGCGTTTTCCACTTAATTCTGGTAAGTTACTGTACATATGATAGAAATAAATTGATTACAGTAGTTTTAATGAAAAAATTTTTTTTCTTGTTTCAGAAAGTATTTTAGTGAGGTAAAAAATAAGGAAATTAACTTAAGTCCTTGTACAGCGCAGACGCAAGATGGCGGATTACCCGCTTTATGCGTTACTACGCACTAGCCAATACTAAGCCTAGCTATAATTCATAAGGAATGTTCTAAAGAAGTTTTTCTCGTTAGAATTTTCTCCGTTGATTATGTCATATAAGTAACGAAGTACGTTTTAAATCTTAGATTATTTTATTACCTACCTGAAATACAGGACAAGTTAATTAACCAGAACAGTTCTCTCCTAGCAATTTTATTTGACTTGCAACCCCTCAGAAACCCCAAAATTAAATATGGCGCAGTCGCAAACGGGATTAATGTTCGAGTTGCTCAGTTGTGTGTGCTTTAGATCCCTCATTGTGTCGGTCGCTGAAGTGAGCGTAATGAACTGATGTATTTTAGTATTTTTAGGTGTAAACAAATTACTTGCGGGACACTAGATATAAACAACAACAGAAAAAATTAACTTTACGATCGTGATGAGGCCTTCATATTAGGCCTTGCAACCAATTTCTACATCTATGTTAATAAAAACTTAAAAGTTGGTAAAGAACAAATACTGAATTTTTTCCTGCCAAACTGTGTCTAACTTTTTTTTCGTATGTGGGATTTTTAACGTTGTAATAAATAGCAGTACAGCAGTTATATTAGTCAAGAATATCTGAGTTGATAAAATTAGTTATCTAAAAATTTTAACATACTAAAAGTACTTCCGCAGGGTCCCCGAAAATGTTCTGTTTCAAGAGTGAATAAAACCAAAATGAAGAGTAACAAATATTTTATTTATTGCTTTTGAAGTTCATATATCATACTGTGTAGTAGCCTACATAGTGTATAATTCTTCTCGAGATTCGTGGCATGCGCACGTTTTACTGACGTCACGACAGTACAAATTACAACGTTAAGCATTCCTTATGTGACATTATTTTAGTGTCTACTGACTGACTGACAACACACTACTGTGTAGAGATGCGAGTGGTTAAAACAGGTGACCCCTTCAGGCAGCCTTCAGAGAAACAACAGATAATCACCAATGGCATTAATTTGGCGTGCTGTTTTAAGGTTTGTTCTCAAGTGAAAGTGTCTGTGTGTGTGTGTTTTTTTTGTTTTTTTTTCAATTTTATTTAATTCGTTAGTAGTCTTGGTATCCTTAGCTAAGTAAGAATATTGACTTGTTGGAAATAGGTTCAGGGGAGAGCGATTACGATTAATCCAGGGATTGAAGGGTTATCTTTCAAGGGTAACGTATTTTCTTTTAAGAAAAGAAGGGTAAAAGATTATCTTATTAAAGTTTACAAAATTATCCAGGAGATCTATAGGATAAAACCTCTTGATTTCCTAGTGCTATATTCTGAAGATGATAGTATCAGAGGATACAAGTTTTAGACTTGTTTGTTTCTTCTTATGCACAAAACCACACAATTGACTATCTGTACTGTGCCCACTGCAGCTATCAAAACTCAAGTTTTAGCATTATATGCCTTAGGACTTACGTTGCGCCACTGGGGGACAAAAATAAAAGGACATTCAAACATAGAAACATCTTAAGATTTTCTATAGCAGATGAAAGTGAGCCATACTTCGTTTTAGTATTTTAGCACCGACACTGGCATGCTTAAATGATGAATTAAGTCATAATAGTATCTGAACTTTATGACTTGTCTCATGTAATAGATAGGCATTAGCATTTTCATATATATGTATGACACTTGATAGAGAAACCTATACGGGAAGAACTGCTTAAAAATAACTTCATCAGCCTTAATTTCGATTTTTCGTGAACAATTGGTAAACAAGTACACCAATCACTAATCTACGCCTAGCGGGCAAATGAACAACAAATGAAAATCCATTAGTGCTTCCATGGTTTAATCAACGTGTGTGATATATGATAATTTAAATACATAATTATTTAAAGACTTCTTTCTGATCTAAATTCACCATAATGTGGTAATTGGAAAGGTTCAACTTATAGATGCGGTGTAGTGGTGGTGGTTGGGGGGGATGGGGTATTTTTTGTTGTCAATGGTTATTGTAAACTTGCATTCACTATACACACATACATGTATTTGTTTGTTTGTGTGTATTCCTAAAACGACAGAATGCGTTCTTCAAATAATACAATGCTTGATTGAGATCATTATTGCTAGCCGTCCCTAATTTAGAAGTCATAGACTAAAGGGAAGACAGCTAGTCAATACCTCCTAACGCTAACTCTTAGACTACTATTTTGACCGTCACATTATAACGCACCCATACATGAAAGGACCAGCATGTTCAGTGATGGGATTCGAACCCGCTATCTGAAGATTGTTAGTCGAGCGCTTTAACCAACAAGCCATCATTGTTGCAGTGAATATCAATTTACCACACACACAAAATTCAATAAACAGCCTTTCAAGCGAACATTTGTCTTTTTGTAAGTGTTGTGTATTATTATTTTGTTGCATTGTAAATGTCTAGTACAGTCTATCACATCGTGAAGTCTATTCTTTTATAACAAAAATATAGTATGCAGGGATATCATGTTTTCAACTTGTTTTATTGATATAGGAGTTTAAATTTTATTTTCAGCTATTTGGTTTGTATGCAGCTTTAGTATAAACACGTGGTTCAGAAAGTCATTGAAGTAACCTTGTTTTAGTTGCATTGTTCCCTGTAGTAGATAATGTCCATTCTACCCGAAAGGATATTGCAGTAATATATAGCATCTGGGTTGAAAGGATTAACGACTGGAAGTATTAGCTCTGTAATGTCATTTGCTGATCCAGTTGACGTTTTCTAAATATAACAGGTGACCAAAGAAATTGACATTTCTTTAGGAATTCAGGTGTGCTTCCACTAGAATATTTTTGAGTAAAGTTTTACTTCAAGATCATCATTTTTAATTCATTAAAAGTTGATCTCGAATGAAAGAAAGCTGTGGGGCTAAGCACATCCTAGTAGAAGCGACTGCCTTTTCGTGCCCCACAGCGGTATGTCAGCGGACTTACAACGCTAGAAACCAGGTTTCAATACCCGTGGTGGGCAGAGCACAGATAGCCCATTGTGTAGCTTTGAACTTCAAACAAATCAAATCAAGTCTTTTCGTGTTCGCAAGTACATATGTTTCATTCATTTTTTTGTTTGATAATAAAGATTTTATTCATTTCTACAAAATTTGACTAGCCTAATTATTACATGCACAGTTGGAAAACTCAGTCATCAGATTCAGAAGTATTATTCTTATTTGCTGAGCGAATCTGTCATTATTAGCTTTTCCATCTATCAGATAATGTGAGGGAAATCAGTTTTACTTGAAAATGCCACAAAAACAACGTGCAGGTATTATTCAAATCTTATTACGATATTATCGAATAATTTTATTTTCAATCAAGCTGTTTATCTCACAGCAGTTGAGAAATACTATATCGAACACAAAAATAGATTGTTTTTACTCAATGAATTTTTGGTTCCCCAAATAATGTGTGTTGCTTTGGTAATAGAGGCGTTACACTACTTTTGAGAGAACGTGAATAGGTACTCAGAAAATCGCTCGGGCTTTTCCGTCATACCTAGTAAGAACAACTCGAATGTAGTTAGAAACCATGTTTGGACTACTTTTGATCACGTGACTCACGTATGAAGTTTAAAGTTAACAGAATCCTCATAACATTTAGAAATTAATGCAATAGAAACGTCTCTGGATAACACATTTGTGTGGAAACAAGGATAACAGGTTATGAGTTTACCAAGATAAGGCTCCCAGTCATACTTCCTGTTCAACCATTGCATACTCCAAGCTGGATAATGAAAAGGGTATTCATGCTATTCCATATGAAGACGTACTGGTTAATGTACTTTGTGTATAGGATTTCTGTGCGATTGGACTGTTGAAAAGGGGACTAGGAAACCATTTACTCAGTCACTAGATGGATTATAGACAGCATTCAAGGAAGGTTTTTGTGTTTGGACATATCATCCTTACAACAGTGATTTGCAATGGAAACTGTCCTGAAGTAATACTGTCAAGATGTGTGTTTGTCAGATAGAGTAAGATTAGACATGGCAACATGGATTATAACGATGGATTGAGGCTACAAAATTGTTTTAATATAGTGTGCTTAACCCTCTGCAATGGTGGAATGAGTGTTATTTATAATATAGTCTTCTTGAATTAAAACTTATGGAGAGTTTTATACTCCAGTTAATTAAATTTTATTATCACATAGTGGTGGAATGATTCAAGTGCTAGAAATTGCAGTCAAAAAGTAAACTAGTGAGTTTCATAAACTACATAAGTAGTGATTAATTTAGTCAGGGTTTTGTAAAATATTAGCCTGAAGAATTAACATATCAAAGTCTGTTTAAATATTGTAATTTCTTTTTTAAAACAGTTGCTTGCACAGTTGACCAAAAAAGAAAAAATGAATATGAGTACAGAAACCAACTCTGTCAACCACACCATTATTGGTGGAGATGATGCAAGTTCTACTCCCTCTTCTCCAGAGAGCCCATCATTTGATGATTCTGACTTGCTGTCATCTTCTGCTGTGGGAGACTATGTAACATCTCAGCTTGCTGCAGCTGGTGAGTTTCATGGGATTTTACAATAAGTGAATTGTACTAGACTTGGCAGTTACTTAATATTATGTTTCAGGAAATTGTTACAAGTTGATCAGAATTCACAACAAATTGTATATATATAATATCACATATAAAAGATAAATTCGTTAGGTTGGATTAATAGATTATGCATAAAAGGTAGTAGATGTAAGTCCAAAAGAATACCACTAATGTTAATTTTTCATCTTCACACTGTTTTTATGCATTGCTTAGGCTCAGCTGTTATACTTGTACATCTGTAGTCCTACAGGTTACGAGTTATTTAAACTTTGTGTTATATGTGTATATAGTGTAATCTAAACATTTGAAAGTGTACATATAAACTTCACTGTATAAGATTGTGTGGAGTTTCTAAACTTTGATTCTTCTTGCCTTAAGTAATAATAATTTAAGAAACAGAACTAAGCAGGTATGTTTTTTTTTAAGAAAAAGGTTGTATGATGTGAAAACAATTTTACTACATGGATGATAAGTGACTCAAAATTAAAAGTATGTTTACTTAATTTTTTTTTCACCTTAAGATTGTGTACTTAGAACAGTCTTGTGTTTTATGTCCTTTCATTAAATCCTAGTAATACATCAAGTTCTATGTTTAGTGATTTTTGATTTAATCTATATTTTATCAGCTCTTGTTCTTTTATTAACACTATTTATGAAATTTAAAAAGTGACAATTTAAATAGAGTTAAAAAAATTTAAACATAAAAGATAACTTCTTTGTAAACATTTTTTTGTAGGTCCCATTGGTGTAGCAGCAGCTGCAGCAATTGCTACTGGTAAGAGAAGAAAGAAATCTTATATCTTTGAAACCAATCCTTCCATTAGAAAGCGTCAGCAGAGTCGTCTTCAGAGGTTACATTATACTCATTTTATTTTATAATTTTTATTCCTTAACTTTAAATTTTTCAACATAGGAATTTCTAAGAAGCTAAGCTAGAAAATCACTTTTTTTTAATTGTCTATGTATTTAATTCATACAGCTTCTGCTAAGACAACATCAAGTGAGTAACTGATCATTTTGGAGGTACAGCTTCTTAACTGAAAGTAATTATAACAAACTTAATGACTTGAAATATTATTAAGCACATTTAGTGGTCAGTTACAAATACAAGAATGTAAAGAAAAATTTAAGTACAATAATATCTACAAATGTACTTGATAAAATGTGTCTTTTTTAGTTATCAAAGCAATTCCTTTTGGATTTTCACAGAAAAACCCTTCTCTTTCACCTTCTCTCTGCATGTTACTAACTGCAAGCATTCTACAATTTGAGCATATATTTTGAAAATTATATAATGTTACGATTGTTGAGCAGCTTGAACTTAAATTTATTACTACTGATTGAGTTATAGCCAACATGATGTGAAGAATGTAATATATTGCTGTTTTACTGTACATAAGAAAATGTTAATTGAACTACATGCTGAATTTTTCTTTTACCATTCCTTAAAGGTAATAAACTGTTTTAGACAATAATTAAGGGTTACTATAACATTCATAAAATTGATTATTGTTATTCAGGAAACTCAAAGCAATAATTGATGAGTACAGGACTAGAGTGGGACAACAGGCTATAGTGCTGATTGCCACTCCAGGAAAACCACAAAATAACTTCAAGGTTTTTGGTGCTCACCCACTGGAGAATGTGGTGAGAACATTTCTAATTATCATGTTTTGTGAAGTTCCTTATTTTTACAGCTTATTATAAGGATATATATATATATGTGTGTAGCATAATATAAAATAAGATACAGTTATTATATTGTTTTATGGAGTTAAATTTAACATTTAACATAAATCAAATGGAGCTTTAATGTGTTGCGAGATAACATATCTATGAAGCTTTATGGAATTGGAGACAGTTTATTCTTGGAGGTTCCAAGAACATTGAGCTTCATAGTGGGTTTTATGTTATTCTCCAAACTCAAACTGAGTTTGCAAGAAAGAAAGAGTAGAAACACAGATTATTACAACAACAATCTTTATTCAAGCAAACACTGTCAAAATAACAATACATTACAAAAGACAAAACAAAGACAAGTGTTTATGATGAGTGTGTTGAACTGGTAAGGTAGGTGTTGAAAAACCTTAAATAGATATCTCTGACCAGTTCAGTGTGATCTCCTTTGTAAGCCACACAAAAAGCTAAATGCAAAATAAAACAATCCTGTTAAGTTGTAATCCAAATTCTGTAACTTTTCACAATGCAAAAGTTAAATCATATCTAAAAAAGTTAACTGAAATGAAGAAAGTTCAGAAAAACTTACACATTAACTAATGGAGGAACTAATGCATGGTATATTCCTGTACTACACAAGCTAAAGACATTCTAGTTATAGAGTGAGAGTTTAGTTCACACTGTGTCAAATCTTCAGTTTCACTTTATACTTCACATTTTATTGGACAATTTCACACCCTAGTTTCTACGTATTTGGCTTGTTCAACACTACATCCATGTGGTCAGTTTGCTTCAGATTACTTCAGCTGACTTTCAGGCATTAATTTAAAGAACCAAGATTTGTAATAATTCAGATAAATTATTTCAATATGTCATTATAGTATGAGCATTTCTTCTCAGGAAATAGTTTATCAGCATCTGATAGCTGATAATTTAGTAATTGTAAAAACTCTCTACTTAACAGTACAATAATGTACTTAACTTCATAATAACTGGCAATAATGTACTTAACTTCACAGTAGCTGCATCAACAATGTGCTTAATTTCATAGTAATGTACTTAACATTAACTAACAGTAATATATTTAATGGTAGTAGCTATGAGAATAATTTTCTTAACTGTGACAGTAATGTATTTAATGACAGTAGCTATAAGAATAATGTACTTAACACTAATTGTGACAATACTGCACTTAACTTCGTAGTAGCTTTGATACTAATGTGCTTAACTTCAAGTTTGCATGTGGAAAATTATAAAAAATCATTACAAATAATATTGCTTTTAGAAATGATTTAGAATTGAAATTCTTTAAAAAAAGAAATGCATAGAAAAGTTGTTTTATGTATATTACATGCTATGGAATCCACAGGTTAGAAGCTGTCGGCATATGATTGTTCAAGAACTTGAATCAGCCCTTGCTGAGCATGTGCCACCACAGCACACTGATGACATATCTATGTATGAGCTTCCTCCATTAGTGATAGATGGAATTCCCACACCAGTAGAAAAGATGACACAGGTATATAATGAAATTGAAGACTTATAAACATATTGTGTGACAGTGAACTTAGTGAATTCTTGGTATATACATGAAATGTTTCCTAGTATATTTATTGTATTCTACTTGTAAGTCCACCCACTGTTTTTAATCCATTACAGTCTAGTATAGAAAGTATAGTGTTAATTTGCAATATATATATCACAGAATAAAGAATATGTAAATGTAAAAGAAAATATATATATTTTTTCCTTAATCTATGGTATAACAATTGCTGTCAGTTAGACTTGACACTTCTCATGAACATAAATACAACCATAAGTCCTAAACTAGACCATTTGTTAATCATATCACCAATTCTTGTGTACATGCTTATTCTGAGCATGGAAAATAAAAATAACTCATTGAATAAATGTTATTTTTCTAAAAACTTTTTAAAACTTTTATGACTTTCATATTTATTATCCATAGACTGTCCAATTTTTTTTCCAACTTACTTTAATGATTAGTGTTTCTTTTCCTGAATGTTATGCATCACAGATTCACTTATTTTGTATGTGTGAACACATTGAGGAAAGTTGTTTATGTACAATAAGTTATTGCGTTGCTTAACTCCGACATATTAGAAAACTCGCCAGATGCAAGTGTTTTTAATATTGTATGTCATGTTTTATCAATATAAGACATACCCTTAAAGGTTGTTTCCTTACCTATGCAGTATACTTTATGTAATTTTTGCATTTTCATCACTTGATTTTGGCATATGTGAAATATGTAACTAAGCAGTAAAAATGAACTTACTTTTTCCCTTAGGCTCAGCTTCGTGCCTTCATTCCACTCATGTTGAAGTATTCAACAGGCCGGGGCAAGCCAGGCTGGGGAAAGGAATCAACTAGACCCCCATGGTGGCCAAAAGACGTTCCTTGGGCCAATGTTCGAAGTGATGCTCGAAATAATGAGGAGAAGCAAAAGGTGTGTCCATGACTAAATAAATCCACTTTATATTGATGGTTTTAAGTGTTCTTTTACAAATATCTTATCTCAAATATGTGGTAATAAAACACTTAAGGATGGTGTGTGTGTGTTCACCAATAATCATTAAATGTTGTTAGCAATTAAATAATTTGGCTGTAACCCTAATTTGTAATATTTTTAATGTAGTGCTGTAGATTTGGTTTTCCAGAGGTTTCAAGCAAATTCTTATGCTTAGTCTCTCAGATTTCTTTTGCAAACAGCTGTAAGCCCTTTTAGTGGTTATAATGTTATGCTATAAGTCCTGTAATAATTATGAAAATCTATTGCAATAATGTATTGTGCTTACAGTCCACAGGTTGTATTTGATGACCATAATTTTCCTGCTCTACAATTGAGCTTTTTTTTAAATCCCCAGTTATAGTTCTTAGACTTAATTTATTACTGGCTGAGGTGCAAACTACTGGCTCAGCCATTTTGAAACATTAATGTGTTTGTTCAGCATATTTCCTGACCATATTGTACTATACCTCATGGCACTCCCCAGTGACACAGCAGTAAGCCTGCAGAATTATAATGCTAGAAACGGGGTTTTGATACCTATGGTGGGCACTGTACAGAAAGCTCATTGTGTAGCTTTGTACTTAGCTACAAACAAATCAGCTATATCTCATGATTGGCTGTTTAAAACGTTTATCTAAAATCATAGATTTGCTGTGTATGAGGTTTGAGAGTGTAATTTCAGTAAAATTTCAGTTTTAAACTGTTTCTCCATTCTCATCATGGTAAGGTAAGAGCTTTACATTTTCTGTTGACCAGCTGGACACTCGTGTGACTAAGATGGGAATTCACAAGGAAACCTCAGCACAATTCCAAACAGATTAGTTTACAACCAAGGACACATGTTTGAAATCATTACATTTTAATTTATGCTGCATTTAGAAATATTCACCTTGATTTCCATTATTTATTGCTTCAGGATTCCTTATATTAAAATATGTGAAAACTCAGATTTAAGAGGAAGTGTACTTTGAATATCATTAGGAAATTTTAAAAGTTATTCTCAATAAAATATGTTGTTTGTGTCAGAGCAAATCTACATTGGGCTATCTGCTGTGTCCACTGTGAGGAATCTACCCCCCCTCCCGGGTTTTAGTGTTGTAAGTCTGTAAACTTACTGTTGTCCAACCAGGGGACCTCAATAAAGGAAGGTTTGCTGGGCTTTTTAAAAGAAAGAGAGTGTTAAGTTTGTAAACATACCAATTTCTTTACTGGGTATTTTAGGAAAAGGGAGTGTTCAGTGTATAAAAGTGAAATAGATTGTATGTTTATACTCTGAGCTCTCCCATTCCTTAAATACTAAGTAAACTACTTGGTCATGTTCATTTTATATGCATACCAAGCATTTCACTTGGCATTTAAGAAAGGGTTCAAGTATACACATACAAGGTAGTTCACTCGGTATTTATGGAAGTGAGTGTACTGTGTATAAACACGTTATGTTGTTCATTTGGTCATTAACCCATTTACTGCAGCTGTTACATATATGGCTTTTAAATATTTGTGTTCGCTGCATCAACCCATCAGTGTTAATGGTATTTAAAAACCCATAAAATAATCTGGATTTTCCCCACCTTCAGTGGTGCTTTCTGCTGTGGCAGCGAGATGTTATCATACAAACCTCTCTGACATCTTGAGAGAACCTGCTGCATAGAATGTAGAAATAAGTCACTTACTGTTTCACAACATAAAGCAGAATGTTGATGGTCAACATTTCCAGAAAAATCTTTGATCCAACATCTCGAGTGGGAATTATAAAAGCAAGAATCCATATGTGTACTAGCTGCAGTGAATGGGTTAAGGAAGAGTAATGAGTTTTCAGTTTGTGTTCATTTCAAGTGTTTCACTAAGTGATGTCTCCCAATGGGACAGCCATAAGCATATAGACTAACAATTCTAAAACCAGAGGTTCGATTCCCTATGGTGGGGACAGCAGATAGTCTAATATGGCTTTACTGTAAAATGAAAAATACTGAGTGACAAAAGGAGTGTAGTAGTCCAATATAGAAACATTATTTTCTCATCTGCTAAATTCTAACAAATTAAATAAGATAAAGTAAATTAACTTACTTTTCACAAATGCTTGAACTAATATCTGTAATCAGTATGCAAAGAAACCATTATGACTTTTTCTTTACATTCTTTGCCAGTGTATGCCTATTTATTTTTTCAACCTACATGAAATCATGCCTGGTGAGAGATTGTGCTATAAGAATATCTGCTTCATCAGCACAGATTGTTCTCTTTACAGGTTTCATGGACTCATGCCCTGCGACAGATTGTTATGAACTGTTATAAATATCATGGACGAGAAGACTTAATGCCTGCTTTCAACAATGAAGAGGAAAAGGACAAAGGAAAGGTGATTAACCAGTTTGCTCCTGAGGAAGAAAGGTCCACCTTTCGAAAGTGCTCGGGTTATAGGGTTTTTATTTATTTCTAACCAGAAGATGGGTATTGTGTTCTTTATGTCAGTATACATTGTTAGTGCAGGAACTGTGTTCTTAGTTGATCCTGGGGCACAAGGAATGAGTTGGCCATATTTTTTTTTTTTGTAAACTTGTGTCACATGTTTATCTTTTCTGCAACCTGTATCCAGAGCTTATTATTTTAATATTTCTCTTGAAAAATATTTTTCTTGTCTCTGCAACAGAATATTTTATCAGAATGAGGTTTATTGTTGGTATTTTAATTTCATTTTTTCTTTTGTGAGAATGAAAAAAAAAGACATTTGTATCAAGTTAGTATTTTTTATTTTTTAAATTATTTTTTGTTCATAATTAATTTTCACATTGTAAGAAACATTATTTTCATTTGCTACTCATGAGGATCATTTGTAAACCAAGAGCTAGATAAGAAGTTATTCATGTAGCTTAACAACAAATAGACTCAGTGATAGGATGAAATTTTGTATTATAAGATACTACTATTATTTAATTTTTCAGACAATGTTTGCTCATCCTGTAACACATTATTCTCCAACAATGGTGCAAACAATCAATAACTCTGATGGTACTGTATCAGTTATACAAGTGGAGGCAGGCAACACTGTTGTCACTCTTCCTGAGGGAACTCAAGCCCAGTTTCAAGCTTTGAATGCAGTAAGTGGTTTCACTTTTGCTATCATTATTATTATTATTCAAGCTTTTCCTACAACAACACCTTAAAATTACATTGGTACTTCTACAGTAGCACCCTAAAATTCAACTGCATCACTGATAAAAAGTTAATTAATGGATCTTGTATCTTTATATTTTAATGTGTGTGTTTTTAGGTATCATATGTACTTACAATGCACAAGATTTACATAAATATGAGCCACAGGAATGTGAGAATATTTTACTAGTCACTAATCTCAGAAAAGGATTTGATGAGAAGAGAAATTTAGACAGTTACACAATGACAGTACAAGGATTATCTTTAGGATCAGGTTTTCTTTAAAGTATATTGGAGTACCTAATATTTTCATATCAGAGTTTGTTTCCTTTCATTTATTTAAAAGATTGGATAATACCCAGAATGATTAACACGACTTTCTCAAAATGATACTGCAACAATTACTGTGCTGGTATTGTTTAAAATACACAATGGCTCAAGTTACCTTCCCTAGCCAGCACATTCACCAAATTTCAATCCATTTGAATGTCTTTGAGATGAACCACATATACACCAATGAAATCCTCTACCTGTTGAAGTCCATCCTTGATGACTAAATACCAAACAAGACACCATCTGGCATCTGCAGAGCCTGTGCCATGTTGAGTCCAAGCTATTATTGCAAAATAAATTGGTCCCATCCAAAATTAGGTAGAATTCTAATAAAATTACTTGTAAGTGGATGTATAAGCATGTAGAAATGACACATTGGTGTTACACAAAAAATAAAATATCCTAGTGAATAATCACATTATTTGTGGTAGAGTTCTAGTAATGTGATTTATCAGTGGACATGTAAGCTATTAGTTTGTGAATACTGGTAATGTCACACAAAAAATAAAATATCCTAATGATTAATCACACTGTTTAAGTGGATGTATAAGCTTGGGGTTTGGTGAACACTGGTAAAATTAATGTTTTGTGTGCAACAAACAATAATGTATCCTAGTGACTAATGAAAAAAAGATATTTACAAATAGTAAAATTTTTATGGGGATGAAGTTAAGAGTTTTGGATTGTTTACATTATACCAATTCTCATGTACGCATCAGAATGTTGGACAGTGTCAACAAGTATGGTAAAGAGAATTGAAGCAATTGAGTTGTGGATCTTAAGGTGCATCTTGAAGGTATGTTGAACATCTGAAATGAAGATATGTTGTCAAGAGCTGGTTACAGTAGGAAGCTGTTGACTAACATCAGAATGAGACAGTTGAAATTTCTCAAACAACTTATGAGGAAAGAAGAAATTGAAAATTTGTTCATAACTGGAAAGACTGAAGGAAGGAGAGACCATTTAAGACAGAGGTTGACATATGTCAAGAGTCTGTCTAAATGGAAGAATGTATCGACATTGGAAATTCTTTGTGTCTCAAGGAAGAGAGACCTGTGAGAAACTGTGATCACCTGTGTTCTGTTTGGATACACAGAGAGAAAGAGTGACTAATCGCACTGTTTGTAAGTTATGATCCTTGACATGCACATTGAATAATATTTCTTTATTTACTACTTTTGAACTTATTGATTTCAGTTTAAAAACTTTGAAAAATGTTTCATCATAATGATTCTAATCTCTTAATTAAAATTCATTGTGTAAATCCTCAAACTTGAAAATTCAGTTTTCAAAAAATAATGATTTATTGTACACAATTCTAAAAATGAGACTTTTTCTAGTCTCAAAAATACACAAAATACTAAATAACTTACTCTACAGAATTAAAGAAAAAACTGAAGATAATGCAGTAAACACATCAAAACATGTTGAGTGATGAGACTCTTTCCAGTCTTATCAGGGTTTTTTCTGTTATCCTGTACAGTAAGTTATTTAGTATTTTATTGTATTTTTGAGATTGGAAACAGTCTTATTTTTATAATTGTTTATAATAAATTCTAATCTCTGTCTGAGACTGAAAATTTTTTTGTTTAAAAAAACAAGAACAAAAATTTGCTTTCTCTCTTGATTTTTCTGATATCCAGATGGTGCATGGATATGTACAATTACAAAGGTTCTATATTGTTTACATTTACTTTTAGATTGAAAACCCACAAACAGGTGTTCCTAATTTGTTATCTACTTTACTTAGATTCCAAACTCCCAAAGAGATGTTCATACTTTAGCTGAAGTAGCTGTTGCTTCACAGCAAGATGATGGTGAAACAAGGACTCACCAAGTGACACCACTAAGTGTTGATCTGCGTGGAGAAGTAACTGCACAAGCCATGGCAACACTAGCAGAAGCAACACTCAGTTCTGATGGACAAATTATTCTTACAGGAGAAGATGGAACACAAACAGGTATCTTCTGATATGAAACACTAAAACCTAGACAAACTTTTGGAAATTTTCACAGATAAGCAATAGAGAAAAACCTGTCTTGTGTATTACTGAAAATAGTAATTTACTGTTGTTAGGTCCAGTATCGAGTAATGTAAGTAAAGCTTTGATAGATTGTATTTACAAATCAGTTTCACTATGAAGACAATATAAGAGATGTGGTTTTGATCTTATGTGTTTAAGAATTCAATAAGTAAATGATATTTTTATAAATGTAACTGCTATAACAAAGTTTTGTATTAAAGTTTAACATGTTATGGCATATTGCACTAATAACATACAAGAACAATGTTTCAATAAATAAATAATGTAGTCAAACTTGTGGATATCAATATATTATTCTTATAAATACAACTAATGTAGTGTAACTCATAGTGTAATAATAAATCAACGTGTACTTATGATGAAGTTTAGCTAAATAAGCAGTTTTTTTAAATTAATACACTATTCTTACATTTAATTACATGTTCTAGCATTTCCCGTTTCTGGCATGGTGACCATTCCTGTTTCCATGTATCAAACTGTAGTGACCAGCATTTCACAGTTGACTGAAGGTCAAGCTTCTCATGAAGGACTTATGGCCCACATTACAGTTGGAAACTCAACAGACACCAGTGGGAATGGAACTAGAGCTATTGATGGATCTGACAGGATAAATGAATCTGTCTCTGTAGCCTCTAGTGGGGGCTCAGGAGATAGTTAAGTTTACAATGGAATTAGTTAGTGTCATTTTTGAAATCCTATTTATATGGTGTATTTGTTGTAACTGTAAGAAGACAGGAAATGTAGAATGATAAGGTGTTCACTCTATGTTAAACCAGTGCTTAATAGAAATCAAACTTGAAATCTTTGTCAAAGTAAAGTTGTAGTTAAACCTTCATTTGTTAGTTACCAACACAGTTGTTGTTTTATAAAAAAATTTTACCTAGTCAAAAAAAACAGATAACCTGAATGAGCTGATGAATGTTGACACCTTATGATATTAGCCATTACAACAAGATGCATGGTTGGAGCAGTCTGTCCATACATATTTGGGTACAACAACTTGAAATTACTCAGGAAAATTATAACTTACAGTTGATGATTGAAAAAACTGATGTTTTTTGGTCTTTATCTTACAAACTGCTTGTTGTCTAAAATGTTCATACTGTTCTATAATTACCTGCAAGTATTGAAAGTGAGTTTATACACAACTGGTTTTACTATGAAATGCACATATTGAGTGAAGAGCTAGTCAGTCATAAAACTAAGAATTATATAATAGATTAATAATGTCATTGTAAATTAATTTATGTTGTTCTTTGTTATATTTTTAAATACTGATGTTTCATTGCTTGATAATATTTGTAAGATATTAAAACTTATTGACCTGACAATCAGACGACACCTGTTGCTTGTACACCTACAAATATCTGCACTAATTGCAAAAGTATAAAGAATATATTGGTTGTTCCAAATTCTGCCACAAGCCTTACTATAACCAAGAGCTGTTATTCATTTATAATATGAATATTTAGGTTGATTATGTTAGAAACTAACGCTCTTACGTTATCATTATACGTCAAAGTAACTTAATTAATATCTAAATTTATCATAAAGGTGGTTTTATCAAGGATGAAGTCATTCAATCTTTTCAGAATTATAAGGATGCAGAATACCTCCATTGAAGTTCCATCTGCATGTAGGGCTTTTATAGTTATAGATGTAAGTATCTCAATTAAAAAAGACTTGAGTATATACTGTGTACTCACTGCATTGTAAGCCATGCCTTACAGAGAGCTTCACTGTAGCTCCCAGAAAATGTCAGATAATCTTCAAGAGTATGAAATGAAAGAAGCAAACAAAAGATTACAAGTTTCACTGTTATGTCCCATAAGTTCAACAACATGGATTATTAGATATAATCTTCAAATTATTTAGCAATAAATAATAATTTTGATTTCAGTTTTCAGATATCCTAATCACCACTACATGTATCCTAAAAATATGGAGATTGTCAAATATTTTCTTTTCTTTCCTACTTTTAATTGTTATTGTTTCCTAACAATGTTGAGAGTATTAAACTTTTCTTTTGTACTTTACATTATTATTGACTCCTAACAATGTTGAGATTGTTAAAAATTTTCTTTTATACATTACATTGTTATTGGCTATGCTAAATAACAAAGATTTAAGTAATAAAAGTGCATATAGAAACCATTGACTGTGAATTTGTTAAATTCTTTTCCAGTGGAAATAAAGAATGCAAGCATTCCACATCTATATTTGAAATTTAAATTTACTGTCATTTATACTTGAATTAGTTTAGTTCCTTAGGAAAATGAACATTCCAACTTATTTTTTATAAATTTAAGCTATAGAGATAACCTGAACTATACAGTGTGACTTTGTAACTTGTAAAGCTTGAGATAAACAGAAAAGCATGCATTGAATATTGTGAAAAAAACATAGTAAGTTAAATAACACGTGTAAGTTGAAGAGCCAATTTCTTGTTTCTCACTACACATTGTAATAAGTGTAACATTTATTCTTTACTAAGCTGTCTGTTCTGAAAACTGTCATTTCATCTGTGATATGGACAGACCTGGAAAGGGAGTATATTACAGCTAGTCTATATATATTAGCAGGAAGAATGAGAAGGAAATGTGCTTCAGGTAAAGTATGGTATTAGTAGGTAGACTGGAGAGAAAGCATGCTTCAGGTAAAGTATGGTATTAGCAGGTAGACTGGAGAGAAAGCATGCTTCAGGTAAAGTACAGTGTCGGCAGGAAGACTGGGAAGGAAATTGTTTATATCAAGATTAATGTATAACTGTAGTGAATGATTTTGGAACAAGTTAATATCTGCAGCTTCAATAGTTATCTTGTTGCCAATAAAGATTTGGGTAATTTAAAAGTGTATTTCTTTTGAGTAATTATACGGGAAAAAAAAAGAGAAGTAAATTGAAGCCTCTATCACATTCTCTAAAACATTTTGAGGAGAAAAATGCATGCAGTTTGAAAGATAAATTACTGTGTACCACTTACATTCATATTTTGTGATATACAGTGTGCAAAATATGTCATTTCTTGAACAAGAAGGAACAGTTTTCCACTTAATAGCCTCCAATAATTCTCTCAAAAAACAAAGCATTCTGTGTTGCTTACTTTCTGACAATACAATATATCTAATATCCTGAAGAACAATGAATAGTATATCTCCCACATCATAAACAATATGCAACAAAATACATTAAATCTTTCACATTCTGAACAATAATATACAGTATATCTCTCACACCCTGTACAACAATATTTTCTTAATTTAACTTTTGTGTTTCTGGATCTGATTAAATGCTTTTTGAAAACTTAAGTGTACCCAGTCCATCCACTTTACATCATCCAGATAACAAGTAATTTCCTTGAAAAAGTTAGTAGTTATAAAATTCATCTCTCATTAAGTTGATTTCGTTCAAGCTGCTTTTGTTCCTTTGTTATTCTCTAGAGATAATATATTTTCTGCTCAGGGAAGGTATGGCTGTAATGCTGCACACTGTGCAAGGATGTAGACAAGTGTGTATTCCAATTGTAGGTCAGGTGATATATTGAGGGTTGAACCTTCTTTATGTTTTAATGGGATTCACCAACAGTAAAATAGGTGATGCATGCATGACAATGTAAAATATAATTTTGTATATAATATTATGATATCTTGGATCTCTCAAGCTAAAGCCTTCAGTTTGGTAAGTGAAGCTCTAAAGTTTAACCTGTAACGTTAACTAATGTTATGAAATATCTTTAGAAACTGTTATGAGAGTATAGAGAGTTAGCTATATAGTAAAGACACTGTCCTGTGACCTACATACACGTTATTCTGATTGTATTTTAGTTTGAATAAAGATTGTTTCATTGTATTTTTGTACATTTATGTCGACTCTTTCTTTCTCAAAGTCAGATAACTCAGACTTATTTCGTAATAAATATCTTGCTAAATCTCCTGTTAATCAGCAGATGTAACCTTTCATTCTAAAGGAAAATCAATTTGACCTGAATATACCACGTTTTTCTATCTGCATATGATAGTATAGTATTTATACTATACTGAATTTATCGTTTATTATGTGTATGTGCAGGTTTCACATAACACATGGTAAAAAAGCCATTATACTCATCTCGTTCTAGCTGTCTTTTTTTTTTATTCTTAGGGGGATTATGCCTGTTCTGCTCATGAGTGTTGATATTGTAATATTGGACGTTATGCAAGGATGCGAACAGCAGTGTCTTTCAATGATATCTCAGATTTACGGCCTCATCTTTTTTGTAAATGTGAATGATCAGTCATGTGAGTAGCGCTAGTCACTCTGGCTATTTACGAAATTTTTTGTGAAGTAAAGAACGTTGGAACACAATCTTGAAGAGTAATCAATTAAAAGAGATAATCCAGTGAAAGCAACAGTTTGTCTTTTCATTAAAGCAAGTACTTACACTGTCCAGTCTCTCTATTTCATTTGTTCTGAATATTCAGTTATTCAGATCTGTATATTATTCAGAAATAAATATCCAGATCGAATTTCCTTTAATTATGTGGACCTATTCTATTGCTCTTAAGTAAAGTCAGTTTTACCTGAATATGCCACAATAATGTGTGAAAAGTAATGCATTTTGGTTATGCGTTTATTATTTATGAGAAACCACTCAATAACAAGAATGAAGATAAGGACCTTGGACTTGTGGAGAATAAATCACTGAAATCATCAAAACTTTGTTCCTAGTGTTAAAACTAACAACGTTTTAGGACGTATTTATAGACATATTGATTACAAGTTGAAAAGGGATAATTATCTGTGTACAAATCACTAGTTAGGTTTCACTTGGATTACTGTGTACAGTTTGGTCTCTTAAACTAAGAATATTGACTTATTGGAAAGTTCAGAGGAGGGTTACTAGGATGGGAGGGCTATCTTATGGGAATAGATTAAAATCTCTCAACCTATTTTCTCTTCAAAAAAGAAGTGTAAAAGGTAATATTATTTACGTTTGCAAGATTATCCGGAGAATCAAGAGGATAAAAGACAGATTTCTTTGTGTTATATTCAGACGATCACAGAACAAGAGTATGCAAAATATGATAAGTTCAACTTGAGACAGATTTATTTTCTAACAAGGTGATTGATTTACGTAATAAGCTGACGCCAGCAGTAGTAGAAACTGGCACTTTACAGAGGTTTAAGTAGGAAATCGATTATTTTCTGAAAAAATGAAGGGTCTTTCTATTTTTAGCGCAAAGATACGAGTGCAGAATAACCCTGAATTTTAGGGTTGTTAGTCCGCAAACTTACCGCTGCCCCCCTAAGTGACGAAAAATAAATGGTGGGTTTTAAGTTTTGCTTTTTTTTTCAGGGGTGGTTGTTCAAGGATAGTCTTCAAGGAAAAAATGGACACAAGTTAATGAGTTTTTGGAGTATGGGATCCACTGGTTTCAGTATTTTGTTGTTGTTGTTTTAACTTACTGGACAGTACAGTCTGGGTCATCTTTCACACGTGTCAGTGAAATATTTTGTTGCATGAAATAAAGTAAAGTTAGATTATGAACTATGAAGAACTAAATATAATTCGTTATTTTGGAATTTGACTTATTAAATGTTGGAAAATGTACAATTAGGCACAAATAAAGTTCAAGTGCTTGTCCTGCCATCTGTTGGTGTAAGATTAATGTATTACACAGAGATAACATGAATTATTTTACATTACACTAACCAACTGTATCAGAATTCCTGCTATTACCTAAAGTCTGATGTTCTGATAGATAAAAAAAATAGAACGTTAAGCTCTGAGAATACATTGTTCTTTAAAGGAGCTCATCTTTTAATGTTATGTTTTTATAGATGATGACGTAGCGTTTTCCAAGTTGTTAAGACTCCATTATTACGCCTTTTTTTCTTTTCGTTTTTCCAAGTTACTTAGGGTACAGAGAAAAAGCCAATACTTGTATTATGTGTTATTTTCAAAATCAAAGACTTGATTTACCACAAATACAGCTGCATTTTATCGGTATCCAACTTTAAGTATGACGAAATACTGAAGAAACAGGTTGTTCAACTTGAACTATGCGCGTAGTTAACTCTCCAAACCAGACGCTGTTGAGGGTGCAAAATCGGCCAAGCTCTCTAAACCAAGCTTGTCTCTTGTCAAACTACGTTTACACAGTACATTTTCGTCGCGGTCCGCTGCTGAATTTGACCCTGTTTCAAAGCAAAAGGTGCTGTAAGTAAGTGTTATGTAAGTCCTTAATAAATCTATTAACGATAGATGTAATAATAATAAATGGAGTGATGTTAATCGTATAATTATCCAAAGAACATTTTTCATTTATTTCACTGTATTCTAATAGTCAGAAGTAGACAGAGCGTAAAGTTTAGTTTAGTGATCTGAAGAGTATTGTTGGGCCTAAAGTGACCACTACTGACAGAATATTCAAGCATTCTAGCCTTGTACAACACGCGACCCACAGCGTCCACTGTCTGAATATACTAAGCTAGAAATCTTATGAAGTTTTGTCTCAGGTATGGAAGACTACTACAAATTATACTGTGAGTTGTATAAGTTTATAGTTGAAATTTGGTCAGAATGTAATGTGTCTCTCGTGTATCTATGTCATATGTATAAGTTTATAGTTGAAATTTGGTCAGAATGTAATGTGTCTCTCGTGTATCTATGTCATATGTATAAGTTTATAGTTGAAATTTGGTCGAAATGTAATGTGTCTCGTTTATATTGACAACTTAACAAGTTCAAATTCAGACTTCTTCCTGCGAACCCCTTTAATTTACTTCACACTGTATTACCCACGGAAATGAAAAAATAATTTTATATAATCTAGATAACTACATAAAAGGAAGAATCGTCGAACGTTGCTTAATCAAAAAGCCTGCCTAATTTCAACACCTCCCAAAACTAAACAATTTCCTGACCTTCTGTGACCTTAGGGTAATTCGAAGTTCCGGGGTCACTGGAAGACACACATATTCCTTTTCAGCATTGTATTCAAATATAGCCGAAAAATCTAACACAAGTAAAATATTCTTTGTTTTTCTGTTTATTGACAAAAGCATAGAACTAATTATTCGATACAAATAGCTACTGCAATTACTATCCAAAATCTGAAACATTAAATTTCAACAGTAAGTTACACCTAACATAAATGCACAACAATCATAATTTTTAAATAACATTAATAATGATGAACTGAACAACATTCATTCTTACATTTACACATCCACTCAAATCGTCACTGCTGGAAACCTTAACATGTTAAAAATGAAGGATCAGGTTTTTTGACGAACAAAGGACCTAAATGTTGCTAATATTGACTGGAAACAAAAGAAAAAAAATTTTAATGTAATCACGTAAACATTCAATATAAAAATAAATCCTAATCAGTTTATACGATGGTTCGAGAGGGTTCAAGAAACAATCAACAATAGAACCTGTTTTTTTATAGTTACGCCCAATATTTACACACAAATACTTCATCAAAAAGAATCATTCGTGAAAAACTACATTAAATGAAGCAAACTATCAGATGACTATAAACAGGCTTCAAAATCTTGTTTCTTCTTTTAGCGTCTTTCTTCTGGGGGTGCACTATACTATAGGATTAACATAATAATATTCCATCCCCACAGGACTTTTCTTAATTGTGTCATGTTATGATATTCTGTTGTGGGTCTATTTACTGATGTCAGATTCAAAAAAGAACACACTGAAAGTCACTTGTAAACTAACATAAAAACTGATTCACACTGATTCCAGTTTTGCGCTGTCCAGATGTCGCTATAGAAACAACAAAAAAGAGTTATATATTAAAGGAGAGTTTTATGTAAGTCATGCAGTGTCTTTATTATAATTGTCTAGAAGAGAAATAAGAGGTGAAAAAATTTGAACTGGATTTTTGTCGTAATATCAACATTTATTTAATTTAAAAAGCAAAATAAGTATGGAACAAGTAATAAAAATACCATCTTAGTAAATGGAACTAGGTTAAACCAATTGTTAGAGCTCGTCCTTTTTAACCTAGAGTCAAAGTTAAAACTATTAAGTTTCAGAAGGTTTTGTTTAACCCATGTATTTATTTTATTCTATAACTGCTATACTCTTGCATTTGAAAAACAACGTTTAGGTAGTCTTCACTAAACTTTTGTAACTAATGCCATGTAAAAAAAGCTCATACTGCAGATTTCTATTTTAAATCTTTTTTTCAGATGTGTTACAGAATGATTAGAACAAAGAAGTTGTTGTTAGTGTTACTTTGTGGACTGGTCACTTTAGTGGTCATCCAGTGGAGCCTGGACAGGTTGTTTTCCGAGGATCGATCCTCGACATTGGATAATAAAGGTAAAAAAAAACGTAGCGCTACTGGACATGACAAGGTCTAGTTCATGAATTAAATATTAGACAGAAATCTGTTTTTGTTTTAAATTTCACTAAAAGCTTTATCGGTTGTACAGCGTATATCTTGTTTATTTTGTCTCAACCTTTTACCAAGTTTACTTGGCATCATCAGGTGAAATACAAGATCTGAGCCTAACAAAAATTCATTTAAAATATGAGAATCATTTGAGTATCTATGATGATAATAATTTTCAAAGCATACGATTCAACAGTTGTATAATTAATAAAGTTATATGGTGTTTCAAGAATGCCTCAAGTTATATAGCAGATATAAGAAATACCGAGGTTTTCGGACGTAAACTTGTGTTTATTTATTAATTTTTGTAAAAAGTTAAGTCATTACAATTTCAAAACTGACTTAATTATCTTTTGTAATGCTAGCCTATTGCTATTTTCAAACCACTTTTTTTTTCAACTGTATATAAACTGTTTTCTTCACATAAATGGCGCCCTGTTTTATATATACACTATGTATTGTGAGAATGTCCAGGAGTAACAGAAATGTTCAATAAAGTTACTAATATAACTCCAGTTTTCAATTTTATTTCATTAAAATTGATTGTTTACTTTGCAGGAAAATTAGAAGAAATAAAAAAATATGTATTTCAACAAAACAGCTATGATTACCCAACAAGTGGTCTGTCTGAACTCTGGCATGCCGAAAACACGAAGAAGAAAAAGAAGATTGGAAAGTTCGTAAATTTTCTGCCTACGAACACAAAAATTTCACCTCCTAATAATCGAACTTTTATCAAACAGAAAACGCTATCGGAGTCAAAGAAGAACATCAAACAAGTTTATAATAATACGAAACAAAATAAGTCCTTTTATCCTCTTACAAGAAAGAAAACTGGCTTCAAAATTTCACCAACTGGGATGACCATAAAAATAGCAGAATCAGAACCAGTAATTAGACACAGCACATCGCGTGATGTACCAAGTAATCAGACACTTTCGATGGTAAAACCCGTCCACAATCAAAAACTTAAAAGAAAAGAATCCATACCTAAAGAATTCACCCCGGATACATTCAAGTCAGCAAGTACACTTTCTTTACCATCTAACAAGAAAACAACATTAGGACTAAACCAAACTTCTATTAATAACAAATTATCTGATAAAAAACATGGGAAAAAAATCCTAATTGCTACGTATTTCCGGTCAGGATCTACCTTCTTGGGTGACATTCTTCAGCAAAACCCAAAGACTTTCTATCATTTTGAGCCTTTGCATTATATGACGTATGGGGAACGCATCTCTAGTGATAAAGAACACGAAGCTTTAGAGCAAATAAAAAAGCTCTTTAACTGTGATTTTTCCAAAAAATATTTAGACTGGGTAATAAAACAAAAAAACCAATTTCTGTTCCGAAGGAACCAGTATCTATGGTCGTCTTGTCGAGTTCGGTCTACTGCCTGTTTCTTTCAGAACTTTGTGGAATCAGTCTGCAAAAGGTCTCGGATTCAAGTGATGAAAGTGACACGACTGTCCATGCAACAAATAAAACATTTTGTTCAAAATAATCCCGACCTACAAGTTCAAGTTGTTTATCTCGTGCGTGATCCTCGTGGGATATTTAACTCTAGAAATACTCTGAATTGGTGTCAGAATTCCAGCTGTTCAAACTATACACAGCTCTGTCGAGAAATGGCTCAAGATGTCCAGGTGTTTGAAGCACTTCATCAGGAGCAACCTCACAAATTCACTCTTATTCGGTACGAAGATCTCGCACTGAACCCCGAGAAAAAAACTAAGAATATTTTCCAGAATTTAGGCCTCTCCTACCTAAAGAGTACGGGGAGGTTTCTGGAATATCATACCCACACAAACAAGATAGAAACAGATGCTTATTCTACTAGAAGAAATTCTTCCAGTACTGCATTTCAGTGGCTTCATCGTCTCAATTCTACACAGATCCAACACATTGAAGAATCTTGTGTTGACGTATTTAATCATCTAGGATACAGCACCATGTATTATCCTCAGAAGCTGAAACTACTGAACGATTCTTCTCCTCTTCAGCAGCTTAGTTTTCACTGAAATAACCTAACCTGAATCACGTGGTTAAAACAGAACAAAGAGAGGCATCTTTCTTCAGTGGTTATTTTTTTAACTACTACTTTCACCTGGTGTCTTCCTTGTCAAAGACTGTATACTTAACCACTCTTTTCTCCTTGTTTAACCACTCCTTTCTTCTAGAGACATCCTCATTACTGATTATTTGTCGTATCAGTTTTTTTTCCCTTTATATCTAATATCTCAGGAATTCATAAGGATAAATTCTGGGCTTTAGAATCAATATCGGTATCCATTCTCAGCCTTAAGGAATCCACCTAAGATTCTCCAGTTTATATTCCTAGCATTAAAGGCCTAAATGCATGTTTCATATGTACAGTTTGTGTGTGTGTTTCACGATTAAAACATGTCTAAAAATAGGTATCTCATATCTGATTTATTTATACATGCATATATACATATACTTGTATAGTTTCTCTTTATTAATATATATCTTCTTCATGTGTGAATATTGGTTAAAAACAAGCAAAAATGTTCAATTTTTTTTCATCAGTGTACTGAAATGAAAGTTTCGCTGTTTAAACCCTTTTTGAATTTATGTAAATTATAAAAAATACGACATTAAAATAAAGAGTTAAAGGAAAGTCATTTACGATAAGTAGATGTATTGTTTCAAGTTACAGTTAGCAGAAGTATTGTCTTAAGTTTCAAATGCGATAGAGATTTACAGTAATTTTTATACAACATTTCAATGTTTTACACGTGTCCCTTAAAGCATATAGAACATTGCAATGTGTTACACATGTTTGTAATTTATGTAAAACGTTTCTGTACGTTGCGTGTGTTTATGTATATCTAGAATATGTCTATGGGTTACACACGTGTGTAAGGTATAATGTAGAATAATTCTGTGTTACACATGTGTAAGGTGTATACAATGTTTTCGTGTTACACATTACGTTAAAGTATATAGATCATTTCAGTTCGATCCATATATTGGTTGTATCGACTATTACATTTTCCATGTGGTTTATATATATAAATATAATTTTTTCTGTTTCATCTAAGAGAAAAAAGACGGTCGAATTTTACATAGTTGGTTAACCATTTCTATAATAGCTTTTGACCACAAATATCTTAATCAAAGAAGCTACTGGTATTTGATTGTTTGTTTTGAATTTCGCGCAAAGCTACACGAGGGCTATCTGCGCTAGCCATCCCTAATTTAGCAGTGTAAGACTAGAAGAAAGGCAGCTAGTCATCACCACCCACCGCCAACTCTTGGGCTACTTTTTTACCAACGAACAGTGGGATTGACCGTCACACATATAACGCCCCCACGGCTGAAAGGGCGAGCATGTTTGGTGTGACGGGGATTCGAATCCGCGACCCGTAGATTGCGAGTCGAGCGCCCTAACCACCTGGCCCTGGCTACTGGTATCAGCAGAAACTAAAATCATTTTGAAACGGATTGCGATAAAATAATGTTATTAATACCAACAGGAAAAACATGAAATGTATTAAAGCATAACGTCATTATTACCGAACCAACGTGTTTAGAGTACGTTGTAGGTTTTCATTTTTAAATTATTGAAAGTTTTAAAAATATAATGATAGAATACAAGTCCATCTTCAATCCCTTAAGATGAAGAAAATGTCTTGAAACTTCTGAAAAATACTGACTCTACTGTAGCCTAGTGTACTCGCCAGTGCTACTTTAATCGCTGCTGTAACCTAGTGTACTTACCAGTGCTGCCTGTAAGCTTCTAATGTAACCTAGTGTACTCACCAGTGCTGCCTGTAAGCTTCTAATGTAATCTAGTGTACTCACCAGTGCTACTTTAATCGCTGCTGTAACCTAGTGTACTCACCAGTGTTGCCTGTAAGCTTCTAATGTAATCTAGTGTACTCACCAGTGCTGCCTGTAAGCCTCTACTGTAACCTAGTGTACTCACCAGTGCTGCCTGTAAGCCTCTACTGTAACCTAGTGTACTCAGCTGTAAGTCGCTACCAAGATATGACATGTACCTTGTGAAAACTATGTTAAATGATAAGTTCGTGTTCTGAGGATTGACGAGTACACACTTTTACATTTGAAGACGATAACTTGAGGCTTTAGACTTAAGTGGGAGAAGTCCTCAAAAAGGTTAAGAAAAAAAGATGAAAATATCAATCTAACGTGTTCATCATGTTCACCTTACATTGGCGACGGTCTTTTGAGATTTTGGCAGATGGCAGATGAATAGAGACAGAACTAACGGATAGTTCCGATTAGAAGTATTTGATACTTTAAAGGCGCTTTATTAACACGTGCTGAAGAACATCTGTTCTCAACAACTGATCCAACTTAGAATTAGATAGAAGTACGTTCATAAAGAATAGAGAAATGTTTGAGCTCGGAAATTTTAATCTTAACTGCATTTTGAAAACAAGTACAAGTTCATTCTAATTTTCTAGTCAATTTTTTCTTCGTAATCCGGAAGAACGAGAGTATTGGAACACTTTTGGTAAAATCTTTTTTCTTTTTTTTTTCTTCACAAAATAAACTTCCTGGAAATAGTTCATTGCTTTCTTGGGAAAAGAGCATTATTTTCAAGATTCTATTGTGTTCAATGCAAGAAAGTAGTGTTAGTTTGTCGTCAGGAAATTATGAACCATTAAATATATTTTTATAATAATCAGTGTCGATCGTTGACTTTATTATATAATCACAAAAAAAAAGATGTTTTACTTGGTTCAGAATATCTTACTCACAGCTGAGTACACATATTATAATGTTGTACATTACCCAGATTGGCTTATTCATACCTATTAATGAATAATGTAATGTTTAGCACGACACAGATTATCTTATTCCACACTTCAACAACTCAGAGTGCCTTAATCACAACTTATTACACGTATGACGATGTTTTGATGACTGATATGATTATAAATTTAAAGATGTTTCACCTAAATCAGACCGACTTTTTCAAAGATGATTACATATTGTTGCTCATTAAATCGGCCATGTGTTTCAGCTACGGTTTAAATTAATTGAAACCTGAAACAGAATGTTCATGGTCTGTCTGATCTGCAGATTTCTCAGGCTGTGATATAGACGAGTCTAGTTTCTAATGGTATATAGAAAGACAAAAGTACAAAACCCAATATCATGACCGATTTCGAAAGAACGTTTTTGCATTTGGAATAATACTTAACCAACTGAAGTAGTCTGAGTTTGAACTAATGAAGACGTTACGTTACAACCAGCTAAAGTAAAGTGAGTTGTTCTGAAGAACTATCTACATTACCTTTAGGCCTCAGCTTGTGAATCAAAAGAGTCTCTTATACGGAAGTCTGAAATTAATGTAGTTAGTTCTTCGGGAAAAGTTTGGTTAAGGCTTTAAAATGTTAGATCGAACTAATGGAGACGTTACTGTACAATTAGCTAAAATAGAGAGAGAGACCGAACTTAGGAAGACATTACTATATAACCAGCATAAGTAAAGTGAACTAAATATGATATATCTTTCTGAAAACCTACATATAATAGGACGTAAACGGAATTTCAAAATGAAAATATGTTTATTTGTTGTAAAAAATATATCGCCATAAAGTAAGATTTGAATCTTACAGAACTATTAGATGTTTTGTTATTGTGAAACTCTCAAACCGATTTCAGGTGGTTGATTATGGGATGGATCTTAATGTGTCGGGCTGCGGAGCAAAAGTTCCAAGAGCAGAGTCGCTCAATGGCGCTCTGCACTTTAAATTGTGGAGAACTTGTACGGAGACAATCAATCTGGCAATTCAGTTTAGAATAACTGCATAAGTAGTGGTTGCTGCTCACTTTCTAGTGTCAGTAGTTCTAAATTAGGAATGATCATGCCTCAACACAGAGGCTTCCCTTGTCTTGGCCTTTTAGCCACGTGCAGTTTGAATATCATTTTAAATGAAGGCCTGTTTTTACATATGTAAAGTTTTCCATATAAAACTAGCACAAAATCGTTTAAGAAACAGCTAAATAATGTTGAATAAACTTTTCCAATTCACAACTGTTTAATAGATTTCATTATGATTTACTGTAAACACATACCTAAATAAAGACTCTGCAGTACAAACATTCTTTAAATATTAATAATGATATCAATGTACAAAGAATTTTCGTAATAACTTACATCTTCTGAATATTTTAACTTTCCAGAGTAAGTCACGAGCTTTTCTTTTTACTCCAACTGATGCAGACAGTAAATTTTCTAATCAACCAACGAACATTAGAATGTATTGTTTAGGTATCTCTGACTGAGTGTTTTCTTAGTGTTCCAAAATAATTCTAACAAACCTTTCTTAAAACTAATAACACCTTAATTGTTTTCTATTTTCGTATGTTGTTAGAGAATTAACATGATTATAGTTGTCTCCAGCCGACGGCGTTCGGTCCAAACTTATACACCAGATGGCTCTTCTGCACAGGAAGAAGAATTTGTCTTTTGTAGTTATATCTGTTTCGTAAATAATTAGCACAAATTAACAACAAACTCGGTCTCTGTAAGGACATCAATGAAAGTTGTTTGGTGCAAATCGTAGTTAAATCAAAACTGAAAAAAATGGTATTTAATAAAAAAATTATTTGTAATAAATATTTGAAAGCAAAACATTAACTGGTATTGTACAAAAACTATTACTCAACTTTCTATGTGCATGTGACCTCCGCGACATGCTAGGGTTTGACTTTGTTACTGTGGTTATTTGTGACTTCAGCAAGTTGTTAGAGTTTCAGTTTGTTTTGACGGTTACTTGTGACTTCAACATCTTGCTAGGGTTTGACTTATTTTACCACGGTCACTAGTGACCTTTGCTATTATGGTTAATTGTGACTCGGAAAACTTACTAGGACTTTGGCTTTGTTGCCATGGTTGCTTGTGACCTGAGAAACTTACAAAGCCTTGATTTTATTGCTACGGTTATATAGAGTCTCCTAAAGAACATTAACAAACACAAGCACTATGATCCTCAAACATTTTTACTACGTATTGTAAGTGTAATCATCTCAAGACCCATTTGCCAGATAACCAAAAACAAACAGAGGAAAGTGCCATTCTGGAAAAACACCCAGTGTGATTTCATCAATTTAAAACATTCAACCACAAAATCAGTACAATATTGAAAAAAAAAGAAGAAATACAGAGAGGAGGAATATCTAATTTGTAAACATTTACTATATTGACAGTAAAGTTAACTGTCATCGTAGTTATAATAAATTTTAACGCGGCAGATATTACAAAAGTTTGTTAAAATCATTCTAGAGAAACGGACCAAACATAATACTGAATGCGCTACCACAGTTCCAACTTCTAACATTCACATAAATTATATTTTCTTGAATATGCTATAGAACTAAACGATGTCTCCTCAGTAACAGACCCTGTAAAACCAATGAAATCAATAGCTGTATCTTCAGAGTGGATATTTATCGGTAACTCAGTGAGAACTTTATTTCACTAAACTGAAACATATTGGTGCACTGGAGGAGGCAGAAGTTTTCGAAAGGTTTATCTCTATTAAACGAAGATGGAAAAAACCGGAATCTTCTTTCAACACTCTTATCATAAACACATTTAGTGTTCAACGTTTCGGCCATAGGCAAAGTTTAACGGTATCTGAGACTGGTACCATTAATTAGTACCTGAAGTAGACCTATTGCCAAAGCATTGTGCAGTAAAGTAATTTATGATAAAGAGTGTTGAAAGAAGTTTTCTGTTTTTCTCATCACATCGAGAAAAGTTTGTCGTTACTATTTTTGGAGAAGCGTACAAAGATGTAGAACAGATGATATATTAAAATAGCCTCACAAATGTATTATCAAATATTCGCATGATCTTAATTAATACACTAAACATAAAATATCAAGTCTTTGAATGTACTCTAAAGTACCATCGAAACTTATTGTGTCAGACTTAAACAATTATTCAACATTCCATAACTCATTTCGAACAGTTTGGAAGAGCATCACATTAACAGTGAAGATGCTTCAGTTGCGAATAGTGACCTGGATGTCACGTTCTTAGTTGTATACATGAGTGTTTTTTCGTTAGACGGACAGGTTATTGTTAAGAGAGAAAACAAAAGCACAACCACCGCAAAGGACTCTAGCGCCATCCAGTGGCTCGAGGACCAAACTTGTAAACAAGTTTCTTAGGAAGACCCTCATTCTTTGGAACCGGCGCCAAAATGCCGACGTTGTAGTAGGTCCTGCATGCATTAAAGAAAGAACAAGTTTGTTAGTATCCCGCCACCAGTATGTAGATGATCTTCCAACAGTGTGAGTTTAAGTTTTAAAAACCTCATAATATAAATATATAGGAACGTAATAAAACTTACCGGAAATCAACAATATGGTATTGATACTTGAACACAGATCAACATCTTTATATCAAAGTAAGGAAAAACAGGTAATTTAATACGTAGAAAGGAGTTTGATGTCTTGTATAAAAACAATTGGAAATCATCTAGCGCAGCAGTTAGACTATAACCGATTCGATACGAAGATACCAGTTACAAACACCCTACTTTAGCCAACGTGAACTATCACAAGTTTAGTATTAATAATAAAATGTTAATTCTTCGATATTTTCAAGTATAAGAATTATAGGTTGAATCAAGATCACATTTGGGAAAAGAGCTAGGTAGTGTTTCATCTTAATATATCATTAAGATGTGTTTACCAAAACTCAACACACCTCATTGCTCTGCTCAGTTTCTCACATGTCATTAAGATATAATTACTAAAACCAGACACACCTCATTGTTCTGTTCAGTTTCTCACATGTCATTAAGATATAATTACTAAAACCAGACACACCTCATTGCTCTACTCAGTTTCTTACATGTCATTAAGATATAACTACTAAAACCAGACACACCTCATTGCTCTACTCAGTTTCTCACATGTCATTAAGATATAATTACTAAAACCAGACACACCTCATTGCTCTGTTCAGTTTCTCACATGTCATTTAGATATAATTACTAAAACCAGACACACTTCATTGTTCTGTTCAGTTTTTCACATGTCATTAAGATATAATTACTAAAACCAGACACACATCGTTGCTCTACTCAGTTTCTCACATGTCATTAAGATATAATTACTAAAACCAGACACACATCGTTGTTCTGTTCAGTTTCTCACATGTAATTAAGATATAATTACTAAAACCAGACACACCTCATTGCTCTGCTCATTTTCTCATATGTCATGTTTGAGTTTCTTTTCCGCTCTCCCCAAAGTTTAGCAACTTTATCAGACTGGACGAACTTGAAAATCCCTTCTTCCCGTCGCTCCCACCGGATATGGCTTGGATTGTAGAGAGGACTGAGTAACAAGTTTCGGATAAACTCCCAAAGTTTACCATAACCTTTACCTGCAGAATAAAATGAATACAATAACATATTAGAGTTGTTAAATTAAGTACAGATGGTATTAGCTAAAGTGAATATTTTAATTTAATGTGAATAACATTTACCCCAGTCTGGTAGTTACGGCGTTCGACTCGCAATCTATGGATCATGGGTTCGAATCCCACCACTAAACATGCTTGCCTTTTCAGATGTGGGAGTATTATAATGTGATGGCTATTTCCACTATTTGACTAGACTAGCCCAAGAGTTGGTGGCGGGTAGTGTTTACTTCTCTCTAGTTTATCCCCCATAAATTAGGGAGGGCAGGCTCTCGAGTAGCTTTGTGTGAAATTCAACAAAACAAACAAATCAGTGACAGTTTTAGTTTAATCTGAACCACGGTTATCCCAGTTTGTTAGGGAGAACAACTGAGCAAGTATAAATGGTGAAAACCTATTCAATCAAACAAAAATATATAAATGTTCTATTGGTGCAGAAACTATAAGTAGTTTTTTGTTTTAGAATCTTTCCTACCTATCTTGTCTGTTTTTGAACCAGTCTTTCCTACCTATCTTGTCTGTTTTCGATCCAGCATCTTTCTTACCTGCCTTGTCTGTTTTTGAACCAATCTTTCTTACCTACCTTATCTGTTTTTGAACCAATGTCTTTCTTACCTACCTTGCCTATTTCTTGATTTACCGTCCTTCTTGGGTGGTCTACCTCTTCTACCAGTTCCAACCTTTTTGGTTACTACAGTAGCTTAAAAAAAAAAAGATAACAATATAATTGTTTTTATAATTCCAATAATGATTATTTAGCAATAAAGATTCTTGATAAGAAAATATTTGTAAGTTACTATTTTTATGTATTATTAGAACGTTATACCTAAGATGAGGCTTATTAGTTACCTAGTTAAAGGGGCAGTGTAACAGGTAAAATATAAATTGGATTGGTGTGTTTCCTATCCATTCAAGTCATGCAACTACAGAGTCTATTACATTAAAAACCCAATCTTCATGACTCCAGCTTTCATCAGAGCACTATATCCTAGCTACCCATAACCCCATGTCAACAAATTATCGGTTTCATTAATATGATCAAGCAGCAATAGAGTGTACATAGCATTGTAAACAATTTTATACTAACATCTAATACCAAACGTGTAAACAAGTTTTACACTAACATCTAATATCATACAACATTATGATTGGTCACTGAAGTTTCGTTGTTTGGTTGAATCCAGTTTTTCAACCTTTAAGTTGATTGTAAGGCACACCCTCACCAAAAACCACATTTAACTTAAAAAACGTTTAGGAAATACCTTTATCAGGTTCTTAGATATATAAATATCATTTAACAACACTCATATATTCTGTAAATCTTACTTGTGCCCGAGCAAGGATTTTGGCCAGGAACTACTTGACTGAAAAAATCTTTCCAACTTTCTGGCCCTTGTTCTGGCCAGGAGGATAGCTGGATCTGTCCTTGTCCTGCTACGGTATTTTTACACTCATCTTGAAGAATAGAACTTAAAATTACATATGGGCATTTCAATAAGCTGAAAATCGTTACGTTTACAATGTTGAGAATTTAATGCTTTACACATGCATGTGATCGTTACGTTTACAATACTGACAATTTAATACTTGACACATGCATATGCCTAAATAACTAAAAACACAATTTCTGTAACACCAAGATCATGTGCATGTCTAATCCGTTAAAAATATTATAATGTAATAAACAAATACAGGTTAACAAAAGACACCTGAAGATAAGATCCTCGTGTATATAAGACGACAGTGATGAAAATAAACTTTGAAGAACATATTTACACAAGACACATGAAGATAAGTTCTTCGTGTAGAATATAGTACAAGACATAGCGATAATGTTGACTTTATTCAATACAAGATGCTTGATGATAAGATTATCATGAATATGAAATGACACAGTGTAAATGTAATGAGAAGACAACGAAAAATGAGCTGAAATCATTTATTTTTTGCTTCAAGGATTGAGTTTATCGCAATTCCTCAAGTTGTAATTATTACATTTCGGATAAACTATTTATTAGAATAACACTTACCATTCTGGTGGTGTCGAATCAAACATTGTAAAGATAGGTACATTTTCCGCCCAAATTCAGGCTCTAGCCGAACAAAATCATGACATTCCATTTTCATCAAATCTCTTCCGCAGATGTCAGTAAACTGTGGAATGTTCAGGTCTATAGCTTCCAGCTTGAGGTCACTAGCCCACCAGTAAATCCACTCCACCACGTCTGAGGAGTTCCAGTCTCGTACCTTTTTGGTTTTAAAAGACATGTCCGGCGTTACGTCCGCAAAATCTATGTCTTAAAAAATATAGATGCCGCTTCAAATTAAGAAAACAAAAACAGATATATATATAAACACGTCGCAGGACTGATGCGCTAAACCATTTAATTAGTAGATTTTTCTTTGGATAAAATACACATACGCATACTAATTTGTAAAAATATATAACATTTATGAATGAAATTAGTTTCAGCTGTAGTAGTTTCAACTTGCAGTGACATAACTCCATGAATATACATACGCCATTAAACAACTTCTGGTTTACAGATAGTAGTAAAAACTATAGAGTTAGACAGTTGTTGTCTTTATATAAAATAGCAGAGAAACTTAAAGATGAAAGACGGGAGTATTTTGAAATGACGTCCTTTCCATCTGTGTTACTCTAGTATATTAATCCACCAGAACAAGTTTTCACACTAAACTAGATAGTTTCCCTATTTTGAAACGACGTCCTTTCCATCTGTGTTACTCTAGTATATTAATCCACCAGGACAAGTTTTCACACTAAACTAGGTAGTTTCCCTATTTTGAAACGACGTCCTTTCCATCTGTGTTACTCTAGTATATTAATCCACCAGGACAAGTTTCACACTAAACTAGGTAGTTTCCCTATTAATTTCTTCAGTAAAGAGACTACTTTAAAGTGAAACAAACGATATTAACAATTCTTTCTTTATTCACTCCTAAGCTAGAGTAACATATAATTTTTAATCTGTTCCTAACTATCACTAATGGTTCTTTTTTTTTCAAGATATAGCACTACAGTGCATTATTATGAGCTGTTGCAAAACTTGTAGTGAAAGGTTTCCTGATACTAAGCGCTTGTCCCCCTCTTTTGTCAGTTTATGGTGATAGTTTCTCTGACATTAAAATTCATTTTGTGGTGACAGGTTATTAAGTCTCGTACTACTCAGCTTGTGATTACAGTTTTTCTGGCATTAAGACTCATATTACTTGGTTTGTGGCAACAGTTCGTTTAACAATAAAACTCATATTGTTAAGCTTGTTCTTGGATTGTGGCAACAGTTCGTTTAACAATAAAACTTATATTGTTTAAGCTTGTTCTTGGATTGTGGCAACAGTTCCTCTGTCAATAAAACTCATACTGCTCTTTTTGTTGTGACAGTTTTTATGATACTCTGGTGAGTGTCATGATGTTCACAGTTCAGCGTTTTTTGTTCCCAGTCAGATTCGTATCCTGTCATATCATTAAACTTCAGCTAAGTTCAAGAAAAAAGGTGCTGTTGAAACAATAAATATAAGATAAGAGTGAACATTGAGACTTATTATCTAAATTAAGCAATCGTAGATAACGGATAACATTGCCTTATAGAGACAGAAGCTGGTTAGTAGTGCCGTGCCTTTCACGTCGATACGAACTCAAAGCTTATAACTGACATTACTTTAGTCACGAATTTTTATTTTAGGAAAAGAACCTGTTAACACGTAATGTGACTAGCATGCGTCACTGAAGATATTTAAGTACGGTTTAGAATAGTATACAAGTTGTAAAGTTAAGAAAATATCCTGTGATACACGTTCCCTGACGAGTGTTGATGGTAAGTATTGTGGATATTCCCTTGGCTAACGCTGGTGGAATTTATTGTGATATATACTCCCTATCGATTAATATATTTACTTAAGAGATATTTACAAACACTTACCACTTAACAACGTTAACTGGCACCTTGATGACGGGATGTTGCTCAAATTCGATGATACAGCTTCATCGAAGACAAAGTCACCAAAATGGTTGAGGATAGTAGCTTCTGTGTCATCGAGACCGAAATGGTGATTGTTAGCAGGATCCTTTCATATAAAATATCATTATATAATTAGAAGTTGTCTTTTCTTCAAAGTGTAGATAAATTTATATACAGGAAAGCTTAAAAATACAAACAGAGATATTTACAAAAACTATTTTGTTATATCTATATATAATATAAGCGTTTACAGAAAACTATTATTTTAATTCTGTAAACCATCACAGCTATAATACATGATTACTGTAGATATTACTAAGATAGTGTAGTTTTACTGTGTTACGCCACATCACACATCAGTGACTGTGGTTCTATAAACAATCACAGCTGCACTACATAGGTACTGTCGATATTTCTAAGGTTTTGACTGTATTACACCACACTTACCACTATATTCTATAAACAATCACAGCTACAGTGATTAACATGGATATTTCTAACAGAGAATGATTGCTGTTTTGTATAAGTACATACTGTGAACGCATTATGTCAGAAGAATTTCTGTATGCACACTTGTCCCTCTGTTTCTATGACATGAAAGAACAGCTTACCTGAAAGGACGTGTGGTGTTGGTTGGTCATACTGTGTAGCCTTTCGTCACTGCAATTAAAAACAAACGGTGAATTATTTACCAAATAGCAAAATACGAGTTTTATAAGATTTGTTTTTACTAGGAAGCAGGTGAAACTGTCAGTTATGAAGTTATATAATATCAGTCACCATGATATTACGTATCTCCAGCAGCCATAGTGATGTTACTTATTAACATGTCTCCATTAGTCACATTGATGTTACCTATCAACATATCTCCATTAGTCACCTTGATGTTACCTAGTAACATATCTCCATTAGTCACCTTGATGTTACCTTTTAACGTATCTCCATTAGTCACCTTGATGTTACCTAGTAACATATCTCCATTAGTCATCTTGATGTTACCTATTAACGTATCTCCATTAGTCACTGTGATGTTACTTAGTAACCTATCTCTAGCAGTCATCTTGATGATACCTAGTAACGTATCTCCATTAGTCACCTTGATTTTACCTTTTAACATATCTCCATTAGTCACCTTGATGTTACCTAGTAACGTATCTCCATTAGTCACCTTGATGTTACCTAGTAACGTATCTCCATTAGTCACCTTGATGTTACCTATTAACGTATCTCCATTAGTCACTGTGATGTTACTTAGTAACCTATCTCTAGCAGTCATCTTGATGATACTTAGTAACGTATCTCCATTATTCACCGTGATGTTACCTAGTAACATCTCTCCAGCAGCCATAGTTATGTTACCTAGTAACATATCTCCATTAGTCACTGTGATGTTACTTAGTAACCTATCTCTAGCAGTCATCTTGATGATACTTAGTAACGTATCTCCATTATTCACCGTGATGTTACCTAGTAACATCTCTCCAGCAGCCATAGTGATGTTACCTAGTAACATATCTCCATTAGCCACCGTGATATTATCTAGTAACATATCCCCACTAGTCACTGTGATGTTATGTAATAACATATCTCCATTAATCACCGTGATGTTACCTAGTAACATATCCCTAAATGTCACGTTGATGCTATGTAATGGAAATAACATACAAGATAACTACAGTCTTCTTGCTCACAAATGTTACAGAATATATTCCCTTCTGTTACATGTGATCCATTTAACGCGCCAGGTAATCATAAAACAACTTGATTCATTTAATACACACATTAATTATGAGTAAATTCATTCATTTAATATCATTAACAGTAAGACAACTTTCTTATAAGTTTAATAGTCAAGCACTTCTTAAACACAACAAAATAACATAACTAAAAATAAAAACATTATATTTAATTTTCAAAACGAAAATCAAATTATAATATCGTAAAATCCACACTACTCTTCCTACGATGTCTCGTCGAGGGATGTTCAACTATATATACATTATTTGCATGCAATTTTCAATGTGATTTCCAGCACATATCGTCATCTTGAACTCGAGTCTAGATCTTTTACTACACAACTGTACTCATCTGCTCCACACTAAATGCCTATTTAAATAAACTTATTTTCTTTCTAGAAAGAGACAACACAGGATTTTAGTAAATCCAAATTGTTTTAAAAATAGACTGCTCTTTTTTCTATAAGCAGTCAGCACAATACTGTAGTCAGTTATATTCTTTACAGAAAATTCTTAGTTAAATAAACTGATGATATTTCGAGAATCAAAACAGAAAATAACGTTGTAATTCATCCTATATTTTTGTTTAAAATTAACTGATCTTATATCTAGAAACAAACAACACCAGACTTCAGTAAGTCATCTTCTCTAAATGATTATGTATAATAAGAAACAAACTACTAAAATAATGTTTTCCTCCCCAACCACCTAGACAAATTATCTGAACACTACCTTCTTCTAAACTTTCAGACAGTTTGAATGACCACTAACTTCCTATCTCAAGCCTTCTAGATAAGAAACTGACCACACTGAGAAACAATAAAACGCACATTAATATATATTACAAGTAAAACTATACTTAAATTAATTTACCCGTGCACACTGAATAATAATATAGCACTCACTGTTAGATACTAAAAGCAAAACTGTGCTTAACTTACCCATCAACGCTGAGTAACTCATTGTCACATACTAAATACAAGCAAAACTGTGCTTAACTTACCCATCAACGCTGAGTAACTCATTGTCACATACTAAATACAAGCAAAACTGTATTCTATAATGTCGATGTTACTTTAGCCACGTTTAGGTTTTATTACAATGTTAAAAGTATTAAAACATACAACAATAATATTAAAAAAATTGTAATCAGTCTAGACTCAGAATACAGGAAGTGTAAAGGCAGTAAAATTCGACGTCAAATATCCGTTCCCAAGAAACTCTTGTTGCGTCATATACACCAATATCTGCCTACATCGAAACACCGCTGATACTGATGTGCTGGGTTTTCAGTCTTTTTCATAAAGCGTGTGTTTCCCAGTGTTATAAATAAAGTTAAACCGCAGAGATGTCAGTCATTAAGCGTTAACACTACCGTTGGTTGTTTACATCATAAAGTAGAGCAGTTGATTATGATTCAGATATATCACACGAGTTAACTGTTACATATTTTCCAGTCGACATTCCGATTCAGATACATGTATATCATATGACTTAATTTTTACATATTCTCCAGTCTCAATTCCAATTAAGATATATGCCACCAAGTGGCACAGCGGTATGTCTGCGGACTTACGAGGCTAGAAACCGGGTTTCGATACCCGTGGTGGGCAGAGCACTGATAGCCCATCGTGTAGCTTTGTGTTTAACTTAAAACAATAACAATTAATATATATTTAATCAAAAACACATTAGATGTGAAAAACAAAGGTACGGCCAAAAAAGAATTGAGTGTAGGAATTAAAGGAATAAAATCAAAATTTGCGACCAACTGGTAGCTACACTTATAGCATTGATAAGAATTTCAACCCAGTTTGTCCTGCAGGTTGTTTTGGCCGCACGACAAACTACCGCGTGTCGTGATCACATGAGTAAACAGTTATGTACTCTCCAATCTAAATTCTGATTAAGATATATCACATCGGTCTGCATTCTGATTCACATGTCTTAACTGTTACATGTTCTACAATCAACATTCCAATTCAGGATCTTGTAGGCTTTATTTACCCAAGTGAGGGATTGGGTATATTAATTGATCAGTATTAAATTGTGTGATAATACCAGATCATTGCTCACTTGGATGTTAATATTAGTCTTAACTGTTACATGTTCTACAATCAACATTCCAATTCAGGATCTTGTAGGCTTTATTTACTAAAGTGAGGGATTGGGTATATTAATTGATCAGTATTAAATTGTGTGATAATACCAGATCATTTTTCACTTGGATGTTAATATTAGATCATTGTTAAACTGGATATTAGTATCGAATTATTGTTAAACTGGAAATTAGTATTGAATCATTGTTAAACTGGACGTTAGTATTGGACCATTGAAGATAGCTTTTATATGCGGAAACATCTGTTAGCTGAGTTCTTGCACAGATCTTAAAATATAACGTTGATAAACGGAAATATCGGCACATGTAGATATGTAGATCTTGAAAGTCGAGTTGTTCAAAACTTGAAAATAGCGTTGATAACTGGACGAATTGTTGGTTGAGATGTTGCAAAGGTTGAGATGTTGCTTTTCTGATATGCGCAGATAGTCCTCGTTTAGCTTTGTGCGAAATTTCTAATCGAAAACGTATACTTTCGTTTCTTAAGCTTAAGAAGTACGACGAATTAGCTAAATAACCAATAGAATATTTATAATTTTTGAGCCATCAGGTAAGTAGAATAAGATAACATCATCGATTTCTGAGTAAAACTGAAACCTGGTAATCGATGAAAATAGTTTTCACACCTTGATGATCATCTTCATGCAATGGTCAGTAACTTCATACGGATACCTTACCGGCATTTCAAAATAATACTATAGGTCAGTAGAATCCCAAAGGTCAGTATGCTTTATACTGATACCTTATTGGTCTTTGAAAACAATATTATAGGTTAGCAGACTTCACACATCCAGTAGTCTTTATACAGATACCTTACCGGCCTTTGAAACTACTCAATAGGTTAGTAGACTCCTAACGGTCAGTAAACTATGCAAATACCTTACCAGCCTTTGAAAATACTCAATAGGTTAGTAGACTCCTAACGGTCAGTAAACTATGCAAATACCTTACCGGCCTTTG